AGATTAGTCAGTGATATGATGGCTTGATTAGGATATGCTTGATTATGTTTACTCGATGCTCGAATGTTGCTTGCTTTGTGCTTTTAGGAGTCTTAGTTATCTTTTACTAACTAGTAAACGAATATGCTAAGTTACATATTGCAAGGATTAAATAATTTCAGAAGGTTAGGTCTAGCTCTATTTCGCAGCTCTTGTTTGAGTCCAACCGTTGTAGGGTAGGATCTCTCATTCGAAGAATTATCTAGTCTTAGTGATATGTAATGGTATTCGCGAGCTAGTTAGGGGAGATGGCAGGGACTTCTGATGCAGCTCATAGCGGAGAGTGGGTTGGTGATTACCCTAGGGCAAGCCTAGGATGAGATTAGCGTGAGAACAGCAATAGTAGTAGAAGGGACTTGGTGGAGTCAAGGCAGTTCTTGAGGAAAGTACGGATAGATGTGGAAGGTAGTATGGGCCCGTACTACAGAAAGCAGAGGATCCGTACTCGAACCAAAGAAGGCTGAGATGAACCCATGAAACGTGTAGTACGTGAGATCCCTCGAGTTATGACGAGTATACTAATGTTTGTTATGGTGTATTTTCAGTATGGTAACGCTACGCACTAGGCCAGGTGGCACTTCAGGCACTGGTGAGGGATCAGGCTCGGGCTCTGGAGTCGGGCAGCTTGATGAGCAGACGAGAGAGTTCATTTCGTCTGAGATCACACGTAGCATTCTAGACCAGACTCATGTGATTTTTGGATCGGTCAAGGAGTGCATTTTTGGAGATACTTGATGAAAGGTTGGGTGCATTCCGCACCGATATGGCGGCCATGCTAGGGGCGCGCACACTGACATTCCGAGAGTTCAGAGCTTATGGAGCTCCTGATTACCATGGGGCTCGGGACCCTATTGCGAGTACCAGATGGTTGGCAGACGTCGCCAATGCATTCCGCACCAGCAGATGTCCTGAGGGGACAAGATTTGACTTGCGTCCTGTCTTCTGAAGGACAGGGCATGTGATTGGTGGGATGAGGTCAGACAAGCCATTGGGGATGATGCGGTTTTAGATGCGATGATCTGGAGTGATTTTTCGGCCAGGTTCAGGTCCGAGTTTGCACCTGTGATTGAGGTGAAACAGCTAGCTAGGGAGTTCCAGGATCTTGAGCAGACGACTGAGACAGTGGCAGAGATCACCGTCAAGTTTAGGGAGAGGGCCCTTCTCGTTCTGCAGTACGTTGCAGACGAGGAGATGAAGAAGGCCCGATATCATGAGATGATGCGGAGTGATATCCGCCAGTTTGTAAGCCGCTCCAACTGCAAGACGCTGGAGGATATGATTGCTAGGGCTCGTGAGAGAGAGATTGATTTAGAGATGGAGAGGAAGAGGAAGCCAGAGTCGGTGTCTGGCGTGGAGGGATCGGGCAAAAAGCCCAAGGTAGATTCCCGAGGGAAGGGCCAGCAGGGTCGAGGCCGCTACGACAAGTGTGGCAGGGGGCACGAGGGGACGTGTAGGGGAGGTAGTTCGGGCTGCTTCAATGCGGCCGAACTGGACACGTCAGCAGAGATTGTACTGCTACCACTACCATCACACCATCTAATCTGATTTGCTTTCAGTGCAATCAGAAGGGCCACAAGAGGTCCCAGTGTCCGAGTTTAGCAGCAGCAGGGAAGGTGGCGGCACCCGCCCCTGCTACATTGAGGATTACAGATGGCCGTCATGGCCGGTTAGAGGCGCCAGTGGCGAAGAGCAGAGACTTCCAGTTGAGAGCAGAGGAGGCACGAGCAGCTCTCGATGTGGTGACGGGTATGTATCTTCTCCTTATCTCTTTATTTGTATTGATTATTGCTTATGTTTGTGTGTTTGTTATAGGATCGTTCTTAGGGAACAATATATTAGCCTTGGTACAGTTTGATTCTGGTGCTACCCGATCTTTTATGTCGCTCGCGCTCAGCAAGCGATTCACAGGGGCTTCTGGAGAGCTAGATATCCCGCTTGATGTGGAGATACCAGACGATAGAACCTTCAGGGTTGCGAGAGTTCATCGAGGATGTACACTACAGTTATTTGATAAGCAGATTTCTGTGGATCTAGTCCCCTATTCCCCTGCGAGGTAATAAGGTTATAGTTGGTATGGATTGGTTGATCCCCTATGGGGCAGTGATTGACTGCGAGCAGCAGCTAGTGACGATCTGGACTCCTAGTGGGGGAGGGATAGTGATTCAGGGTGAGAGGCCTGAGGGTGGATTGACTCTATGCTCAGCAGCGAGAGCGAGGCGCTACCTTCAGCAAGGTTGCACAGGTTATGTTGCCTATGTCATGGATACCCGGGATAAGGGTAAGGCGACAGTCGATGATATACCGGTAGTGCGAAAGTACTTGGACGTATACCAGAGGATTTACCCTGGATACCTCCGGAGAGACAGGTTGAGTTCAGGATTGACCTGGTCCCTGGTGCAGCTCTGATAGCCAAGGCACCATATCGGTTGGCTCCTCCCGAGATGTAGGGGTTGTCTACGCATCTGCAAGACCTGCTAAACAAGGGATTTATCAGGCCGAGTAGTTCGCCATGGGGAGCCCCGATCCTGTTTGTGAAGAAGAAGGACGGGTCACATCACATGCGTATAGACTACCGGGAGCTGAATAATGTAACGGTGAAGAACCGTTACCCCCTCCCGAGGATTGATGATTTGTTTGACCAGCTTCAGGGTGCATCTTGGTTCTCCAAGATTGATCTGCGATCGGGTTATTGTTGGATAAGGTGTCTAAGTCCATAACTTATTTGGTATATACTTGACCCGACCCGGCATGGTCCATTTGGGTTGCACTTCACCCGAACTAGTTATGGATAATTTTATGAGAATTGTATACTTATGATTTATTAATATATTATAAGTTATAATATATTAATATATAGTCATGTTATTTAATTAGTTTTAATCTTGAATTAATTATGAATTAATTTAGTGATTAAAAGGAAGACTAATTAAATCATGGGCTATTATATTTATATAGTGTGGGCTAACACTCATTTGGGAATGGGCTAAGCTTATATGGAAGTCCATGGATGATCCATGGAGCTTTTACCCATGGATCCTTGGAAGAGGAAAAGACATGGGTTATTAGGGTTTCACCCTAACCATGTACACTATATAAACAAGCTTATGTTGCATGAAAAAGAGACTAATGTGTGTGTAAGTGTGGTGGCCAAAATCAAGAGTTAGTATACTCTCTCATACATTTTCCAAGTTTGTGGTGATTTGTGATTTCCATTTGACGCATTCACATTATTGGTGCTTGACTCTCAAACTCCAAGGAATCAACAATCAACAAAAGGTATGTAATTCATCTAGTTCTTTTATGGTTAAAAGTACCCCATGCCATGCTAGATAGGTTATAAGCCTTGGAAAATAATATTTTGCATGTATCTTAGACAAACATAGATCCAAGGTTTAATAGGGTTGCATGTACACTTAGGAAGTGTTAGAATGCTCAAAACCCAACAGTGGTATCAGAGACTAGGCTTGTTTGTTTGATACTTGATGCAAAATAGTGATAAAAAGTCGATTTTTTTGCTGTCTGACTGATGAACTCGCCGAGTCCATGGGGGGACTCGCCGAGTTCATGTGTAAACTCATCCTACTCGCCGAGTAGGTTCGTGCACTCGGCGAGTAGGAGCCTCAGAATGCAGATTTTCGACTTTTGCTGCTTGAAATGGACTAGAAACATTACCCTAAACTGTTTTGGTGTTTTAAAACTTGTTTTAGTTGGTGTAATGGTTGTTCTAATCCATTTACAATAGCTTATATCAAAATTTCATGCTTGTATGTGTTCATATAATTCTTGAAACTTGATGATCATGTTCATGTTCTTATGAATTTAAAAGATGATAGGAATTATTTGCTGAATTGTTTAGGATTAATTCTTGATCATTTGTGTGTTTTAATGGAGTCCATAATTTGTCCTCAAGTTATGGATATCCAAAGGTCACTTCTTTTAACACACACTTAAAACATAAGTTACATGGAAATGAAGAGTCTTCATTTTATGAACCTTTAATTCATAAGTTATGAAATGAAAGTTTTGAATAGTTTCAAAACTTGTCCTCGAGTTTTGGAATTTGTAAAGTTACACACACTTTAATATACTTTAATTCCAACCCTTAGAGTTTTAAAAGTTAAAATTCAACCCTTATACTATTTATAACATTAATGGTTAATTATTATATATATGTATAAGATCAAAGTCGTCTTACCGCTAGTACGCCTCATTCACGAAGCCAGTCTATAAGGTGGGTATAAGGTTGTTGCCTATAAAATGGCAACTTAATGGGTGTCCACTCTCACCCACCGCTTGCTTGACTGGTGGAGGGTCGTTAGCCGAACGGGTAGGACAAGGACTTATAAATTCTCATTAAAAGTATGATGAATATTATAAAGTAACTAAACCTTTTATAAATTCTCAATCTTAGTTACTTTAGGAAAATGTGAATATGGTGCTAACCCATGAAATTCACACTTTGTACCTTACCAAGTCGTTGGTGGAGCGTGTGTGGTTAACCGGCACACTAACTTGGACTAGTAAGGATCACGAAGGGTGACTTAATGTTTATCATAGATCGGTGGAGCATGTGTGGTTAACCGGCACATTGATTAGGTGATAATATTAAGGGTACCAAGTGAATTTGCATGGTTATTCACACCTTGTTTTGTGATCCTCGGCATCCCAGTCACAAAACTTGAAGGGCACAATCGAGATTGAAAACATGCCATTGAAAAGTTCAATGAATCTCAAAGGAATCTAGGAATTTCAAAACCAATTAAACCTAATAATTCATTTCGTTTTCATGGTGGAAATTGGTGAATCGTCATTCACCTACCTTCAAATATATTATAGCTTAGATTACGGCATCCCTCTTCTAAGTTATAATATATTGTGTTGGATCCTAGCCTTAATATTACATTTGGGTGTATTATTAAGGATTCGATATATCTAATCTAAACTTGTTTTCTTCTTTTGAGATGTCTTCCAACAACAAAGCTTCGGGCTCTAACCCTACTGGCTCCTTTTCCCTCATGAACCTTTGTGGGAGGGTCATCTTTGATGGTTCCAACTTCATGGATTGGATCCGGAACATCAGGATGGTTACTCGTTACGAGGACAAGGAATATGTCCTCGATAAGGAGCTAAAGGAGCTTGATGAGTCCACTGCTACTCCTGAGGAGGTCGCTGAGTATCAGGCACATGAAAGAGATGCCACCAAGGTGGCATGCATCATGATGGCCACCATGACAGCTGAACTCCAAAAGTCCTATGAGGACTATTACCCTTTTGAGATGCATCAGGATCTGATGGAAAGGTACCATCAGAGTGCTCGTCAAGAGCAGTATGAAATAATCTCCTCCATGATCACTACCCGTATGAAGGATAGCGAACCAATCACGAGCCACATGCAGAAAATGCAAAGGTATGTGGACCGTCTAATGAAACTGAATGTGAACTTCCCTGAGGAGTTGGCAATTGATATCATTTTGCACTCCTTGCCATCGTGTTATGATCAATTTCGTATGACATACCACATGAACAAGGAGGAAGTCACACTCAGTAAGCTTCAAGGACTTCTGAAGACTGCCGAAAGTGGTCTTAAGAGTAAGTCGGTTGCTACTCCTACTCCTACTACTACCCCTGTTTTGGCTATCGGGCAAGGCAAAGGGAAGAAGAGGAAGCACCCTTCGAAGGGTACCAAGGGAAAGTCCCTTGAAGGCTCCTCATCTGGAACCAAAGGTGGTTCTATCACTCCTTCTGCCATCCCTAAGGATGCTGAATGCTTCTACTGTCAAAATAAGGGGCACTGGAAGCGAAACTGCCCAAAGTACTTGCAGGATGTCAAGGATGGGAAAGTGAAACCATCCCATGCAGGTATTTACACTATATTGTCTAATAACTCACCATATTCTAATTCTTGGGTTCTTGATACAGGTTGTGGTATTCACATCTGTTGTGACTTGCAGGGCCTAAGAAGAAGTGAGGATGTGGAGCACGGAAAGATAAACTTAATCATGGGGAACAAGAAGGTTGCACTTGTTACCAAGATTGGAGTTTATACTTTGTTGCTAGATAGTGGGTTAAAGTTAGATTTGAATAAATGTGTGTACTCGTCTGAAATGGCGAGGAATATTATTTCCTTTCATGCTTTATACAAACAAGGTTTTACCTTTTCTTTTGATAATGAAGTTGGTAGTATTAATGCTTTCTTAATAATGTTCTTTATTTTAAAGCATTACCTTGTGATGGTGTGTATGAAGCTGTATCGGTTGTAGATAATTTAGGAAATAATGTATTATGTATTGATTCTTCTACTAGCTTGGATAAAGCATCTTTGTGGCATTGTCGTCTTGGACATGTAAGCAAGAAACGCATAGGCCAGCTCCAAAAGGATGGAGTCTTGGAGTCGTTCGACCTCAAGTCGGATGATAGTTGTGAGTCTTGTCTACTTGGAAAAATGACAAAATCACCCTTCACTGGTACTTGTGCAAGGGGGTGAGGGTTTGTTGGACCTTATACATACTGATGTATGTGGCCCATTCAAAACCGCCACAAGGGATGCTAATCGCTATTATGTGACTTTTATTGATGATTTTAGTAGATTATGGTTATGTCTACTTAATCAAACATAAGTCAGAAACTTTTGAAAGGTTTAAAGAGTTTAAACAGGAAGTAGAAAATCAATTGGGCAGGAACATTAAGATGCTTCGATCCGATCGAGGTGGTGAGTATCTTAGTACTGAGTTCCTCGACTATCTTAAGGAGTGTGGGATTGTCTCACAATTGACACCTCCCAGGACACCACAGCTGAATGGTGTAGCTGAGAGGCGCAATCGAAATTTGTTGGACATGGTTCGCTCTATGATGAGTCGAGCTTCGCTACCAATCTCTTTTTGGGGGTATGCCTTAGAGACTGCCGCCCACATCCTTAATCTAGTCCCTACAAGAAGGTTGCAAAACACTCATGAAATGTGGATTGGGAAAGTTCCCAATTTGGACCATATCAAGATTGGGGTTGCGAGGCTTTAGAGGCGCAAAAACTCATGACAAGCTCGAACCTCGAGTGAAAGGTGTATTTCATCGGCTACCCCCAAAAATCCTTTGGTTACCTCTTCTACAGACCCAGTGAGAATGTGGTCTTTGTGGCTAGGAGAGGGTCTTTCGAGAGAGAGAATTTATAAGCCAAGGAGACAGTGGGAGGCAAATTGACCTTGAAGAAATTCAAGACTCAATTGGTGAAGGAACCTCAGACACTAGCAATCAACTTGAGGAGGAAATTCCTGTTGATCCAGCTGACGAGTCTATACTTCCGAGGCGTTCCACAAGGGTTAGGAACACACCTGAGTTTTATTATGGATTTCATATTTACTATCGGAAGGTGATACATTTATCAGTGACATACACTGTTAAATCTGGATGAACCTAACAGTGTTAAGGAAGCCATGCAGGCCTAGAGTTCTATAAATGGAAGGAGGCTATGGACAGCGAGATACGTCCATGTAGACAATCAAGTTGGAACTTGGTTGACAATTGTACCAGGCCGTAAGACAGCGCGTGCAAATGGATCTTCAAGAAGAAGGACGACATGGATGGAAGGTGCACACTTATACGGCTCGACTGGTTGCGAAGGGTTTACTCAGACTCAGGAAATATGATTATGATGAAACCTTTTCACCAGTAGCAAAGATTAAGTCTATTAGGGTTATGCTAGCCATTGCTGCATTTCATGATTATGAAATATGGCAAATGGATGTCACAACCGCTTTCCTTAACGGAAAGTTGGCTGAGGATGTTTACATGAATCAGCCAGAAGTTTTGTCAGTGCAGAGTACCCCAATAGAGTGTGCAAGCTTGAGAAATCCATTTATGGATTGAAACAAGCATCTCGAAGTTCGAATCTTTGTTTCGATGAGAAGGTCAAAGAGTTTGGTTTCTCAAGAAGTGAAGATGAGTCCTGCGTGTATGTCAGAGCTAGTGGGAGTATAGTTAGCTTTTTGGTACTGTATGTGGATGACATACTACTCATAGGAAATGACATCCCAACCTTGCAGGAGGTTAAGTCCTGGCTTGGGAAGTGCTTTGCTATGAAGGACCTTGGAGAAGCTACCTATATCCTAGGGATAAGGATATTAAGAGAAAGGAGTAAAAGACTAATTGGACTTAGTCAGAGTATCTACTTGGATAAGGTGTTGAAAAGGTTCAACATGCAGAATTCCAAGAAAGGAGAATTACCGATCCAAAGCAATGCCAAACTGAGCAAGCTCAGAGCCCGAGTACAGAAGATGAGATAGATGAGATGAGTCGATTACCTTATGCTTCCGCTGTTGGTTCGATCATGTATGCTATGACTTGTACTCGTCCTGATGTGGCCTTCGCTTTGAGCATGGTCAGCAGATATCAGGGGAACCCTGGCAAGGCTCATTGGACTGCGGTAAAGAATATTCTCAAGTACCTGCGGACGACTAAGGATTGGATCCTTACCCTTGGTGGGAGTGATGACTTGAGAGTAGTAGGGTATAGTGATGCTAGCTTTCAGACTGATAGGGATAAATTCCGCTCTCAGTCGGGCTGGGTCTTTACCTTAAATGGAGGGGCAATCACTTGGAAGAGTTCCAAACAGGAGACTGTAGCTGATTCGACTTGTGAATCAGAGTACATAGCAGCGAGTGAAGCAGCAAAGGAGGCAATATGGCTGAGGAACTTCATCGGAGACCTTGGAGTTGTACCAGCTATTAAGGAGCCTATGGAGATTTTCTGTGACAGCAATAGTGCGGTTGCCTTAGCCAAGGAACCAAGAGATCATGGCAGATCCCGACACATTGACAGAAAATATCACTTCATAAGACACAAGATAGAAGAGGGACTCCTCGTGGCAAAGAGGGTATCGTCAGATGAGAACCCCGCGGATCCCCTTACGAAGGGACTGACGAGGGTTAAGCATTTGCAGCATGCGAGGCGCATCGGGCTGAGGGACAATATTAGTTTTACAGATTAGATAATTTTCTGAAACTTGTAAAATGTAATCGACATTTGATGATGAATAAAATGTGTGATTTATTTATGAGTAAAGTGTTACTATCATTGTCAATTATTTACTATTGTTTCAGTTTTGCATGTTTTGACTTCCAGAATAATTAATTTATTCAAACCTCCACCATCGGTCATATCGGAAGTAGGTATGAATCAAGATTGTCATGAATTGGGATGGTAGATGACTAAAGGTGTTTAGCCATAGCAATGGTTGCTACAACATTCATGAGTACTCATAAGTTATGAGTATTGGAATAAACCCACGCTCACTTGTATCACTTCATGGAATTTATCTCGAGTGATCGTGAGACGGTAATATCATATAAGTCTTCAAACCTAGAGATATGAGTTGTTACCTATGAGTGGTTGTGCATTGATTGCATAAACGCATCAGTAACTTGATGTTATAAAAACGTGCCTTTGTGTGCAATTCAATAAGTAGTAGAACAAGCATATGAGTCGAAGTTTATCTGTTCCTTCTAGAAATAGAAGCGATATCTGGGCCCCTCGATGATTTTGTGTTGACCCATGTACCGGGCCCGGTCAGAACTAAATTGATGTGTTCAGTTAAGTTCTTTGTCAAACAAATCGGAAATCGAGAAACAACTGTTAGACAATAAGTAAGACATTGTTCCATGTATTTATCCGGCTGATATCATGAGAGCAGAGGATTATATGATCACTTATCTAAAATGGCGCTTCATAGTTCACAAGAGTTTTCGAGAGCTACGATTGCCGGTTGGTTCCTGAAGTAATATAGGCAAATACAGTTATTAGACTTATCCAAGTGGGAGTCTGTTGGATAAGGTGTCTAAGTCCATAACTTATTTGGTATATACTTGACCCGACCCGGCATGGTCCATTTGGGTTGCACTTCACCCGAACTAGTTATGGATAATTTTATGAATTGTATACTTATTGATTATAATATATTATAAGTTATAATATATTAATATATAGTCATGTTATTTAATTAGTTTTAATCTTGAATTAATTATGAATTAATTTAGTGATTAAAAGGAAGACTAATTAAATCATGGGCTATTATATTTATATAGTGTGGGCTAGCACTCATTTGGGAATGGGCTAAGCTTATATGGAAGTCCATGGATGATCCATGGAGCTTTTACCCATGGATCCTTGGAAGAGGAAAAGACATGGGTTATTAGGGTTTCACCCTAACCATGTACACTATATAAACAAGCTTATGTTGCATGTAAAAGAGACTAATGTGTGTGTAAGTGTGGTGGCTAAAATCAAGAGTTAGTATACTCTCTCATACATTTTCCAAGTTTGTCGTGATTTGTGATTTCCATTTGAGGCATTCACATTATTGGTGCTTGGCTCTCAAACTCCAAGGAATCAACAATCAACAAAAGGTATGTAATTCATCTAGTTCTTTTATGGTTAAAAGTACCCCATGCCATGCTAGATAGGTTATAAGCCTTGGAAAATAATATTTTGCATGTATCTTAGACAAACATAGATCCAAGGTTTAATAGGATTGCATGTACACTTAGGAAGTGTTAGAATGCTCAAAACCCAACAGTTATTACCAGATGCGAGTCAGGGGACGAGGATGTGCAGAAGACAACTTTTAAGACTCGCTATGGTCACAATGAGTTTGTGGTGATTCCGTTTGGGCTCACCAATGCTCCAGCCGTGTTCATGGACCTCATGAACCGTGTGTGCAAACTGATGCTGGATCTGTCTATGATAGTCTTCATTGATGATATCTTGGTCTATTCCAAGACTCATGAGCAGCATGATGAGCACCTGAGGGAGGTGCTGGAGACACTGAGGAGGGATAGACTTTTTGCAAAGTTCTCCAAGTGTGAGTTCTGGTTCGCGAGGTGCAATTTATTGGGCACCTTGTCAACCAGAAGGGTATTTCGGTCGATCCGGCCAAGATAGAGGCCATGATGCAGTGGGAGATTCCGAGGTCTCCAATTGAGATTCAGAGTTTCCTGGGTCTAGCGGGTTATTACCGGAGATTCATCCAGGATTTCTCCAAGATCGTTGTTCCTTTGACTCGACTGACCAAGAATTCGGTGACATTTCGCTGGGGCCTGAACAGTAGGCAACTTTCGAGACTCTCAAACAGCGGTTGTGCGAGGCACTGATCCTGACTTTTTTCGGAGGGCGTCGATGACTTCGTGGTTTATTGCGACGCTTCGATTAAGGGCATGGGCACGGTTTTTGATGCAGCGAGGTCACGTGATAGCTTACGCTTCGAGGAGCTGAAGCCTCACGAGGCTAACTATCCGACGCATGATTTAGAGCTAGGGGTTGTGGTGTTCGCCCTCAAGATTTGGCGGAATTACCTCTATGGGGTCCGTTGTACCATTTACACGGACCACAAGAGTTTGAGGTACCTCATGGATCAGCCGAATCTGAACATGAGGCAGCGTCGGTGGTTAGAATGTGGTGAAGGACTACGACAGTGAGATCCTTTACTACCTGGGAAAGGCCAATGTGGTGGCCGACGCCGTGAGTCGCAAGGCAGTAGCGGCCCCGATTCGAGAAATCTGTCTGAGGATGACAGTAATTACTCCATTGTTGGAGCAGATCAGAGAGGCGCAAGAAGAGGGCCTAAAGGAAGAGCACCAGAATTGCGAGCGGATCGTAGGCCTGGTGGCCTCATTTGATTATGACAGCCGAGGGTTGTTGACCCTGCATGGGAGGGTATGGGTTCTGTACTGGGGCGGAGTACGACAGGTTCTGATGGATGAGGCCCATAAGTCGAGGTTCTCCATCCATCCTGGGGCGACGAAGATGTATAGGGATCTTCGCCTTGATTACCGGTGGCCCTGCATAAAGCGGGATGCAGCATGGTATGTGGAGAGGTACTTGACCTATAGGAAGGTCAAGGATGAGTATCAACGACCCCACGACAAGATGAAGTCATTGGATATTCCGGTGTGGAAATAGGAGGATATCACCATGGATTTCATCATCAAGCTTCCCAGCACCGCACGTGGAGTAGATTCGATATGGGTCATCGTGGATCGGTTGACCAAGAGTGCTCATTTTATCCCGATCCAGGAGAGTATATCGGCCGAGAAGCTGGCCGAGATCTATGTGCGAGAGATAGTGGCACGACATGGAGTGCATGTCTCGGTGGTGTCAGACCGAGATGTCCATTTCACATCCAGATTTTGGAAGTGGTTTCACGACGAGATGGGTACTCGTCTCCACTTCAGCACCGCTTTCCATCCTTATACGGAGGGACATAGCGAGAGGACGATACAGACTCTTGAGAACATGCTACGCGTATGTGTTTTGGATTTCGGTAGTAGTTGGGATACGTATCTTCCGTTAGCGGAATTTTCGTATAACAACAGTTACCACGCCAGCATAGACCGACCTTCCTTCGAAATTCTCTATGGGAGGAAGTCTAGGACCCCAATCTGCTGGGGCGAGGTGGGTCAGAGATTCATGGGGAGTACTGAGGAGTACTTATGACTAAAGAGCGGATCTAGCAGGTCCGGAGCAGGCTCCAGAATGCTCAGAGTTGGTAGAAGAGCTACGCCGACAAACGGCGTTCATACTTGGAGTTTCAGGTGGGCGACATGGTCCTCTTGAAGGTGTCATCCGGTGTTTGGAAGTGGGGCAAGCTGGGCTCCAGGTACATTGGTCCTTTCAGGGTTATAGCCCAGGTGTGCAAGGTGGCGTATCGATTAGATCTTCCAGGAGAGCTCATCCAGATCCACAACACTTTCCATGTTTCCCAGTTGTGGAAGTGCTTAGTGGATGATTCAGCGATTGTGCCTTTAGAGGATATTCAGGTTGACGACAGCCTGAACTACATTGAGAGGCCGATGACGATTTTGGATCGCCAGACAAAAACCTTGAGGAACAAGGTTGTTCAGCTAGTAAAGGTGAAGTGACAACACCGCAAGGGTTCTGATTGGACTTGGGAGTTCGAGGAGGAGATGAGGGAGCACTATCCGGAGTTGTTTCCAGACGCAACAGACTTCGAGGACGAAGTCTAAGACAAGTGGAGGAGAATTGTAACTCCTGGTTTCTGGTACGCATTTATTTATAAATTTTTCATTTTAATATAGCTACTTGACGAGTTGGGAGCCCCAGACTCGTCCAGTAGAAACGAGTTTGGACGCGAGTTTTGAGTTATCTACTCGACTCGGCGAGTAGGTCTGCCAGAGTGAAACCCTAATTTCGGGGTTTTGCACCCTATTTAAGCATCTTAATCCCCACCTTTTGGCCTCATTTCCAGCCTCCAAGTCCCAAACCCTAATCCACGAAACCCTAGAGCATTGTGTGAGTGTGTGAGCCATTTTTTAGTGTTCTTGTGTGTTTTGAAGCTTGTAGAGGAAGAAGAAGCTTGAGGAATCCAAGAGAAGATTATAGATCCAGATGCAACATCTCATTCTCTTCACTTTCTGGTAATCAATTCTCTAACTTGATCATTCATTCACTAGATCCACTTATTTCCACTTTTTGAGGGTTTTTGTTCAAGAAGCTTAACCCTTGGGATTTGGACGTCCCAAGCAAGGATCCTTTCAGATCTGGGATCATTAAGGGTTGTTAAGGCATAAAGGTGTATACTTTATGCCATTGAAGCCCCCATGCAAGCTCTAAGGTGTTGTTATGGCCTTTTTAGCCCCAAAAGGCCATGCATGGAAGGAAAGTCTGAGGCTTTACGTGTCCTTTTGGTATCTAGGACCTAGATCTGGGTTTTCATGCTTTGGTTTGGAGTGATAAGGCTTTTGGACAAAGATCTATGTCCTAAAAGAACTATGGTTTTAGCTAAACCCATTAAGAAGGGTTATCAACGGGTAAAGTTGGAAACTTTACCCTTAAAAGGGCATTTCCAGTATGTAGATGAAGTATGGACTTTGGATTTGGAGAGTAGAGGCTTAGTCTGTTAAGATGGCCAAACAGACAGAGGAACTCGTCGATTCCATAAAGGAACTCGACGAGTTGGATTGTGTTGTCACGTTT